ACATATATATATGTATTAAAATATATAAAAGAAATAAAAAATCTAGTTTTTAATAATTAATGATTAATTTTACATTGGCAATTTAATAGTTTGCCAAAGTAACAAACATTTCAATGTATTTTCTTCCTGCTATGTGTTAAGCACTCTCCCCAAATTGATGCTATATACACTTACACTTGTGGGGTTTTAGTGCTGACACTTGGCCATCTTGATTAATGGTGACAGTTCTTGCAATCCAAGATATCTGGAAAGTACCAGCCTAAGGAAAATGTAAGGCAGCAACCATTCGGCTTTTGTAGAAAAGGCAATTTATAATCAATATATGCATTTTTTGCCCCCTATCATGACAACTATGTATAGTTACTCAATATCTGCCACATAATTGAAGAAAAAAACATTTAAGGTAATTTATGACCAACACAAGGCAGACATAAAAATAAAGTAAAAATAATTACAGACTACATAAATATAAAAACATGAGGATAGAAATACAAACACATGTATATTTATTGCAATTTATACCCTACTGTTTAGAATAACAATCTTTAGTCAGGGGAATCTAGCAAAAGTCCAGCTGGAATAGGCTTTGGTGATGGTCTTTGACTGTCAAATGTAGGCAGGCTTCTAGATGCAATTTAAAGTGCTGGTTTTCATTTATAAAACCTTTCATGGTAAAGAGCTATTTGCATGACTGCCAATCTCCAACTTTCTCTGTTCATCCCCACAAAATCTGGCACAATAAGCATGCATCACATTCCTTCTATCAAAGTACTATATGTTCACCTAACAGGACCAAAGAGGCTTTCTCTATCACAGCATTCCATATAGAAAAGCATTCAGTTTGTGATTCGGATGGTCATATCCTTGGCTTTTAGTAAGGCCCTGAAAATCTAGCTTTTCCTCTAAGTCTTGGACAGAATCTGGATGAGCTTGTTTAGAAATGAAGTGATTTAAATGAGAATATGATATGGCTGGCCTGGGTTATTTAGTATTTCTGCATTTCATTTTTAAATTCCTTTTTGTTTAATTTTTAACCATATGTAAGCATTCAGGACTACTATTGCAAGTTAGGTAGCCATATAAATCATATTAATGAATAAAAAGGAAGAAACAAAGGAACCTAGGAAGGGGCCGGCATTACTTACATTCTAGTAGCATACAGGAAACTCTTAAGAGATAAGAATAGATGGAAAAATAATGAAAATTTATGCACTATGGCATAAAAAGTGTAAAATAATAAGGAATTTTAAGGAATGAAGCAAAACTTTTGAAAAGCACATGGCAAAAAATATTTATTGAAATATATTTGAACTAGATGACAAAGGGTTAAAATAGATTCCTAAAAGGATATGGAGACTGCAGAGGAATTTAAAGAATTCCTTGCATCAGAGATTGGATTGATTTTCTCAGCTCAAAGGGACTAATTCGAACAATTAAAGCATATTGGAGAAACAAAAGATATTTAAAATATTTAACCAACTACACTAATAAATTGCTGAATCACAATGTCATCCATCTAGGAATTCTCAAAGAATATAAAATTGGGGATATTCCCCTTTCAAAATGCCAACATTTTTGGTCAAAAGACAAAAAATGACTGAAAAGGGATTTAGAACAGATAATAAAGATGACTTCTTTACAAGGCATGGTTAATATAAAGAATTTATTATCATAAAATGTAGCAATGTAATGTAATGTAATGTTTGTCCAATTTGGACAAACTTAAAAGGGGGTTGAATATATTTATGGAAGATAAGTCTACCAAGGAGTGGGACAGCCCACTTCCAAATACCAACTGCAGCAAAATAACTGAGCAGAATAATGCTCTCCTTGTTGCTTCAAACATCCCTGAAGCATCGGTCAGCTACTATGAGAGAAAAATTGCTAAATTAAGATAGATTCTGATAACAGGCCAATATTAGATCATTGCTCCATGGATAGAAGACAACTTAAGATTAATTCATAGCATTGCATCATCAGTAGCAACATTCCAGCGTTTATTTTGGTAATACTGGAAGATACATGATTTTCCTTACAGGAGTTTTCAATCAACTCTGGAGATTTTCAATTATTTATTTATTCTAAATAAAATTTAAAATCACTAGTAATTTCTGTTGGCAGACAAGTTTTTATAGAATTGACACACAGTATGATAATGATATGTCTTCAAATTGAAACTATACTTCCTGAATATCAATAGTTAGAAATTCTCTAGGATAAAATCATGGTTAATTTGGATTACCCTCTACTTGCTTATATAAATTTGGCCCACTTCAATTCTTTATGCCTTCCTTAAACCTCATAATGAGTTCGCTGTTCAGACAGGCTCTTCCAAAGGAAAGGTGACCATATAACGCACAGTATATTTTATTACACATTTTTGTTGGCATCAGCAATCTCCCTCTCCTTTAAAACTTCCTGTCACAACTGAAGAAGGACAATATAAATAGAAACTTAACAGGAGTGAATTCTCCCAGGACAATAGCCAACACTCAGCTGTTTCCTTTTAAAGTTTGG